CCACTCTGCAGACAGGCTAGTTAAAAAGTTCTCTGGTTGGCAGACAGACCGATGCAATTTCACATTGTGGCCACCAGGGGTCTCCTTCTCCCTGGTTGCTCGTCGCCCTGGTCAGGCGGCATGTTCAGCAGTTTTGAAACCCCCCACTAGTGCTCTAGTATGCGTGTTTGAGAGTGTCCCAGTGGGTAAGGTAGTGCTGTCAGGCTTGTGCTGGGGCTTGTGGGTTTTAGCAGTGCTGTCCTGAGGGAGGCTGGTGGCACTGTGGCTCAGGGCTGAGAGCTTCAAGACAGCCAGCTGTTGGAGCTCTTCTCTAGGCTCAGCAGGGCTGTACAGTGGTGGGAGTAACCACTAGTTCACTTTTCTCTTCTGTATGTTTAACCAGTGGGTATTGGCCTAATTCAGCCCTTCACAATGGTTCAGAAAGGAAATGGAAGGAGAGAAACTACTTCTGTCTTCCTGCCCCGGGTCCTGCAAGAACTAGCCGGAAAAGATCCTTGGAACAACAAGGCAGGAGCTCCCTGAAGTCCGACTGGTCTAATGGCCTTCTGTGGTTCACACGCCACGGCCTGCACTCTCCTTCAAGGTGCACCCAGTCCCCCCAGTGCTCTCACACGCATACAACAGTCTGCCACAGCCCCTGCCTGGCCCTCTGTCCAGTGTGCGAGAGAGAGACATGCGGACCAGCTGCACTGTAATTGACAAACACTCGCAGGCAATTAACCCAGAAACGCTAAGCTCAGGACAAACAGAGACCGTGCCATGACACTGGGGGAGAAGTAAAGAGAGAGAAAGGGGACATTAGACTCACCATGTAACCCATCTAGCTCGTTTGCTTTTTCAGTAACTCGTTAATCTGAAGCTCCTACTTATCTGCTTCTTAAAATAATATAGGGTGCGCATGTCAACAACAGGGCTGGACAACACCCCCACAACCCTTTACTAAAAAGTACTAAATTCAAAGTGAGCGTGGATGTTCTGTACCTCATCCAGGAAATTGCTGGCTCAGTCTGATCCTCCACATTTTATACAACCCTGTTAGACGTTCTAGGTCCTGCTGAGCTTCATGCAGCAGAGAATGTGCACCCTGTTTCATTGTCTCTGACACCCTCAGCCAACCTGTAGTTAACCTGTAACAAAGGAATTCTGGGAGGGGCCGCTCCCTGCTCTGGGGCAACTCCATGACCAAGGGTCAGAGTCCTGCAGGGTCTACAAGCAGTTTTCAATTAGCAACTGATTAAAAGCTAAAAAAAGAGTGTCTGACTTCCCATCCAGATAATTAGTTTGATTAAGTAAGATCAGAGGGCCCCTCGAGGTCTGGAGCTGCCTGTCTCTAGACTAATGACCGACCTATCAGACAGGCAGCTATTAAACACGGGGGAGGCATCACGATGCACCCATCGCCAGCCTTCACACGTGCTGAGAAGCAGCTGTGAAAGCATCAGGATAGTTTAGACAGGATTAAACAAACATGGTGTCCAGTTCAGCTGGGCCGGACAGGTGGGTTTTTCAAAACGTCAACCTCCCCACCCCCCACCCCCAAAGTGGCAGCGGAAGAGGGTCTGCAGGGTCACCCCGCTGCGAGCGGACGGGACCCCAGAGAGGAGGGGGTGGGGCACGCCACTCACCCAGGACACAACCCGGCCGTTGAAACAGGGCAGCTTGGCGTTGTCATCCGAGATCTCCTCCTTCACCACCCTGAAAGAGAGAGAGAGCGAGAGCACAGGTCAGGTCAGCCACCACAGCCACCCGCACGGAGTGGGGAGAGCCAAAATGTTTTCACGCAGAGAGAGGAGGCTCGAGCATCACTTGCGGTCTGGCAGGAGGGACGCGGCTGACTGATGGCGAGCCGGGGCCGGGCTCGACGCAGTTGACAGAACACAAGCCGAGTGGGTCCGCAAGAACTCCACATCGCCGCGCGCCAGGCGGACACCAGAAGGACTTGCTAGGTGGCTCTATCTTGTCACGTGACGGAAGGGGTTCGCAAAAGGTTCTGCACCAGGATCCACAACAAGCAGGCGTTCGCCAGGATCAAAGAGACTCGATCACCGTCCAGGAGGCAAGAGCTTCTTGCTTCCATTGCCTCATCTTTACAGCACTGTCAGCTCTTCCCAAACACGCCAACCCGGCAAAAACGATCAAGAGGCACCCAGCTTTCCTTGTTAATTTTGTTACCAAAAACGGTTTGAAAAGGATTCCTTGTTTTTATTTATGTGGGATCTTTTGCCAATTCATTTACAAGAAATCCCCCCCCCCCACCCCAATCATCCAAGGAAAATTTCGTTTTTTCTCATGGAGGGCCTGCGGAGAAACGCAAAATCCACCGAGCACCCACTGTGTTACTGGAAATGCCTCTGGTTAAATTAACGACCCGCGTCGGCACACGCACGTTACCGCTGCACACGCACGCCGCAGCGCAGGGGAACAATACAGCACAGCCCCAAGCGCACAGGCCCCGCCACTTGAAAGCGGGACCAGCGGAGCAGTATTTGACAGCAAACAGTGAGGCGCACACCGAGAACCCCCCCCCCGCCACCCCCACCCCTCTTAACGACCCTCACAGCTGCTTCGTGAAAAGGTGGTGACCCCACGTGACCCCCCGTTCCCATGGAAACCCGCTGCAGCCCGTCAGCCGGGCCTACAGGGACAGCTGTGCAGCACAGAGCAGTCAGGGGAGGAACAATAAAAACACAACGCACGACACGCTCTCTGTGGGGAAGCAGAGTGGAGCAGGGTGCGCACACCAGCCCGAGGTCAGCCTCTGCGCGGTGACCCCCCCACCCTTGGGCTGGGAGTGGTTCCTGTGTCCCGGTCCCAGTTCCTTTCCCGTTTAAATCCAACTCCCAGGTCAGTGGTACAGACAGAAGGCTCTGGACTCTTTAGAAGTCCAAATGGGCCTACATACAGCCAGAACAACCCGGAAAACTCGACTTCTGCTCACTGACTTCCCTTGAATGTGTGGAGCTCACCAAGAGCTAGACACAGGCCTGTCTTCAGATCAAGAACTTCAGCTGCAGGGCTTCTGGGACTTTTATCAATATTGCTTTGAGACAACAAAAGCCATTGCAGAACAATCCCATTACAATAGGAGCTACAGTCCCAGTACAGTCCTTTTAGAATAAGAAATGATATCGAAAGCCCAGAGGAAGATTCAGGAAGCAATGAACAAAAACTACAAGGCTATCACACCAGTGATAAAGGCTCAATTCAAAATAAGTCCTTGGAGTATTTCCTCCACAGGGTCATGTTTATAGAAGCCAGCAGCAAGATGGCGTCAGTGCGAGTGCGCCAACACAGCGCCCTGCGCCACTGCGGACTGAGCAAACACTGAGAGACCAGCGGGCCACACAGACGCAGCTCAACACTCGCGTCAGTTACACACACCTGAACACCGAAGCCAACTCAGAAACTGAACACACTGCCAATTCAAACCAGAGGGAAGTGGAGGGTAGCGGCCCGGGTTCACGTTGAAGCCCCTTCTCCTGGCGAAGGGCGACACCTGCCCGAGCTCTCGGACCCGGGACTCCGGGGGCGCTGCTGTATCAACACACCGAGACGTGCGAACTCACTCGCACGTCAGCGGCCTGAGAAACAGACTTTTCCAAGCCGTTACATGTGTAAATAAACAATATGAAGAAAGCACTTAGAAGTAACTGTCATCAGCCAAACTAAACACTACAACTGGCTCCATTTCCAGGCAATTTACCAAACACCCAGCCCCACCCTCCCCACCAGCACACACACTGCAGGGAGGGGTAAGGGAGAGACAGACAGGACTCCAGCGGGAGGGGGGGAGGTTAGAGAGATAGACAGGGCCCCAGCAGGGGTGGGGGGCGAGAGAGAGAGACAGAACCCCACCAGGAGGGGGGAGTGGGGGGGTAAGAGAGACAGAGTCCAAGGAAACAAGGTGACAGGACAATGGTCTACTCCAGCTTCTACCAGCTGTGCTCCTTTATTTTTTCATCTTTCCACCCAAACCCCCCCACCCCACAACCAGGGGGCTGCCAAACCTCACGCAAGCAAGCAGGTGCCGCTCTCCCAAACAGGGGCTCCACAGAGCAGCACACTCGTACCCACAGCACTGCCCCCAGACCCCCTCCTGGACTCACTTCAAAGACGGTGCGAAAGCCCACAGGAGCCTGTGCTGCAGCCGGTAAAACCTGGACTGGACTGCTGCACGGCGGGAGTCTCAACCACCGGCTTTGTGGCTTCGCGGCTTAGGGAAATCTTCACATTTCGGGCGGAGATTAACAAACAAAACTATTTATAAAGTCATCAATAATGCACCTTCCGCAGAGAAGCACGCTGTTAGCATCTGGCACTCTGGTGGAAGGAGGCAGGAGAGAGAGGCTGAATCTGAGCGCAGGCGTGTTAAAAGAACCGGTTTCACCACCGTGGAGGAGACAGGAGAGGTGTGGATCACATCAGGGGGATGAACCTGACCCCGTCAATACCAGGGTAGGTTATATAACATTACTAGATCTCCACTGGTCTCTAAGCAATGCAGTTAAGCTGTGACCTCGGGCACACAGGCACGTCGAGACCCTCCATCTGATCTGGACTCAGACCGGACAGTTCCCAACCGAGCAGGACACGCTGGTATACCTACACACGTGCCTGCGGACCCTCACATGCCTCACCTCATCACGCCTAACTGAAACGCCAAGCTGCCTGGAAACAGATCTGGCAATTTAGATGATTAAAGATTCGATTTTCTCCCTCCCCCCCCAAAAAAAAAACAGTCTTCCCCAGTGCTTACAGAGCCCCTTTCTCAAATATAGTAGCTCTGGAGGGGACACCTTCTCCAGTCCGGTCATAGCAAATATAGGCATACCTGCACGCGCACAGCCCCGAGCGCAGGCAGCTGCCGCCTGATGCGTTTTCCACGTGTGGCTGGAATGCGCGTGAGGGGTGGAGGAGGAGGAGGGAGGGGATTCCAGACACGTCTTGGTCCCAGCATCTCCGATCTCAGTTCATTCGCAAAAACAAACTCCAGGATGGACTCGCAGTAACACTGCGTCCTGCTTCCTAGATGAACGAACCGCAAGGGTATTCCGGACAGGAAGCGCCCGGCTGAAGGCTTTGGGGAGGCAGGTTCCACAGAGCCGGGAGGGACGAGGGCTCGACGTCCAGGACTCGCGAGGAGCGGGAAAGCTGAGCTCTGCTCCCCCTGTGCTGGCGGCACCCGAGACGAGCTCTATTAACCGAGACAGAGGGCAAAAGTGCCCAGCTGACCACAGGGGAGCGCCCGCACCCACCCCTGCCCCCAACGGGTACTGATGACCTGCGGGTACACAGGACGCCCCCCTGTGCTCCAAAGAGAGGGCTGGTCAACCCCGTTGACTGAAACTGGCCGACAGCGCACGCCTGGAATTCCACTCGGCGCCCAGTTCTTTCAAGCAGCCTTGCAGGACATAAGTTATTATTCCTTTTCCTGGCCGGTTCTACCTCGTGAAACTGGATCTGTATCCTGGTCACGCCGCTGGGTGTGTGCCCGGGCTGTCCGAGCCCCACCGCGGAGGAACAGCTGCCTCAGCACCCCGGCACGCCGACGCCACCGGCTAGCTGAAGGGCCTGGGCCGGGGCTCGGCTCAGGCGATGCGTGATCCCTCTGCCTCGGGCGCGCTGCCGCGGCACAGCGTGGCTCCGCGCCACGGGCTGATTCAGCTGCAGGGCAGAGGAGGGCTGGTTGCACGAGACCTGGCCCGACTGAAGGAAGAGAGAGGGGGTCTACCCCCATCCCGCTGGAAACCCAACGAGAGAAACAGCTGGCGGAGAAGGGGCTCGGCCCACACGCTGGAAGGAAACGGCCCAGAGCAGGCTCGCTGCATGGAAACACACCAGACTCCTGCTGTGCAGCAGTCTGAGCCGCTCCAAGCTTTAGCAGCTGCAGAGCTCTTGTAAACAAGCTAATGCCAGGTGCAGATTTGGAGCTTGGAAGCCAATTTTGAATAAATCTGCACAGATGCACAAAAGAAAAAATAAACTAAATAGACTTCCTTTTTACTTGATCCATACAGGTTGCAGATTGGCCCAGAGTAAAACCTGGAGTGGATCAGACTGATGTGCAATGGGAGTCTGACCTTCCTGTGCCTAAATATCACAAAGAGGACCTGCTGTTATAAGCAGGTCACCAGGGCACCAGTTTTTTTCTTCAGTCCCTCTACAGGGCCAGGTAGACACGTTTTTCTTACATATAGAGCAGCCAAATGCCTTGATAACTCTTTCCCTGAGAGGGGGACGACCCCCTCTCGTCTGCCCTCCCTCTTGGCATGGAGACAACCACTTCTCTCGGCTGCCCCTCCACGCAAAGACTACTGCCCCATTGCCTACCCTCTCCCAGACAACTACCCCCTCAGTACGCCACAGTGCTAGGAGAGCAAGTGTACTGGAGCTCCTTCTGGTTCTTGTTCTGCGCAAGCGTGTTAATTAGGGGCTCACCATCATCTCCGTCTCCATCACCCTCTCGCTGGGGAATCAAGTTACCCCCCCCCCACCCCCGAGACAGCTCGTTAACACTGCCACCTTCAGACTAGCACCGCACTGCAGCCACTCAGATCGTCACATTACAGAAACGGTTCTGCTGCAAGGGTCCAGTACTGACAACACCTTTCGTTTTTTTTTTTACCACTTTTCTACTCGATCCTGCTGCTGCTGGGGTTCAGAAGAAGGTGTTCCACTGCTCTGCGCCACACGGT